GGGAGGGTCTCCCCTTCACTAGTCTTGAGGCTGACACGGTGCTTTAACCTCTGACTTCAGGGAGCAGGGCTTTTATTTTTTTTTTTCAAAAGAAGGGAATCCCCCTTTGAGTCCTCCAGCCTTGGGAGGCTGTTCTTCACCTGCTGCTCAGGGTTCTGCTTGAAGAAGCCTTCTCAGCTGCTCCAAGCTGGCATTGATCCAGGCACAATGGTGCTTTTTGATCAGTGGCTTGAGAGACTCGAGGAGAGGATGCGAAGGCAAGGAGAAAGAGGTCAGGTGTGTACCCCAGTGGGAGTAAGAAGGGCTGCCACCAGTGCCTTTTCTTGAGTGATTGTGAGTTGTACTTGGGCCTCTATCCCTTTCACTGATACCCTGGTTTGGTGAAAATTTAGTTACTGCTCACTGATGGTTATTAATCCAATGGAAACACATGCAGAAAATTGTGTGGAGGCAACGAAAAGCTATGTGTGCATAGCCAGTGATTTACTCCTCTCCCTCTGTCTTTAGACAAGCTGGAGAGCTGCCAGTCAGAGAGGGACCTGGGGGTGTTGATTGACAGCTGACTGAACATGAGCCAGCAGTGTGCCCAGGTGGCCAAGAAGGCCAGTGGCATCCTGGCTTGTGTCAGCAATACCATGGCCAGCAGGGACAGGGAAGGGATCTTACCCCTGTACTCGGCCCTGGTGAGGCCGCACCTCTATTCCTGTGTTCAGTTTTGGGCCCCTCACTCCAAAAAGGCCATTGAATAACTCGAGCGTGTCCAGAGAAGGGCAACGGAGCTGGTGCAGGGTCTGGAGCACAGGTCTGATGGGGAGCAGCTGAGGGAACTGGGGGGGTTTAGTCTGGAGAAGAGGAGGCTGATGGGGGACCTCATTGCCCTCTACAGCTCCCTGAAAGGAGGGTGCAGAGAGGGGGGATGAGGAACCAAGGAATCAGCACCAGGACAAGAGGTAATGTCCTCAAGCTGCACCAGGGCAGGGTCAGACTGGCTCTTAGGAAGTATTTCTTTGCAGAAGGGGTTGTTGGGCGTTGGAATGGGCTGCCCAGGGCAGGGGGGGAGTCCCCATCCCTGGAGGGGTTGAAGAGTCGGGTTGACCCAGCACTGAGGGATCTGGTGGAGTTGAGAACGGTCAGTGTGAGGTTAATGGTTGGACTGGATGGTCTTCAAGGTCTTTTCCAACCGAGATGATTCTGTGAGAAGCTCCAAGTTTTAAGCAGGTGCCCGAGTCACTGTGTGCGGCACTGCTCAAATTGAGCTGCCTGTAAGCAAGAACACCCGCGCAATCAGAAAGCCCACCCCTGTTACATCACCCTGACTTCAGCATTTAAACCACAGCTACGTCTGGTTAATTTTTCCCGTTAATTACATTTCAAGTGAAATGGTTTCCTCTTAAAAGTAGTACACCTGCTGTATTGGAGCAAAGGGAAGGCCTGGGATGAGTCTCTTATTCTGAGATGTCTGTGACAGCTCTTCCATCAGGATGGAGAAAGACAAAGTTGGATGTTTCCAACATGAAAGTCAGGGAGGGAAGGGAAGGTAGGCAGAATGAGGTGGAGAGAGGCTGAAAACTCTTGATAGAAAGATGGATGACATAACCTCAGAGGAGAGTGCAATAGCTACATGCAGATAGAATAGAAACCGAAGGCATTTTGTTTGTTGTATATTGTTTTCCATATTTGAAAATTTATTTTGAAAATAAGAGCCATTAGAGCTAGTGGGAACTTTGTCTTTAAATGTTTTTCTTGGTGGCCCTGAAGTGCTGTGCACCTTTCACTGTACTTTTTAAAGCATTGTAGAATACTGTTGAAATATGATGAGCCTGGGAAAGTTAACCTTGTGCCAATACTTGTAAACAGTGAATGAGACATACACAGCTGTAAACCAGGTAAAGTGACCAAAGTCAAGATAAGAGATGGAAAATGCATTTGATTTTAAAATAAAAATAGATGTTTTGGTTTTTATAATGGTCTTGGTCTCACTTGAAATTGTTTTTGTCTGACAGCTGTAATATTTTCTGATGAAGTCAGGTTGGGTTAACAAAGGCACTACAGCAAACTAAAGTTAAAGGTTATACCAGCATGAGATATCTTACTTAGCCACACAAGACTGTGCTCTGATTTAAAAGAAATAATTAAGACAACAAAAGGGCCGATACTACAAATTTTAGTTCACTGATAAATTTAAAGTAATGAGGAGGAAAAAGAGACCCCAGAATATGAAATTAGTTTCAGAACAGCATCCTACTAGAAATAATGCTCATTAGTAACTTGATTAATGATCTGAAAGAAGATATTAAACCAGTGCTGATGAAGCTTTCAGAGGACCCAAGGAACGATGAAAGTGATAAATGATGGAAAAAGATGAGATGTGCAGAGCAGTCAGTAACTATTGGTGTGTGTTTATTTATATACAGTATTTCTGGCTGCATTGAAATCAGCAAGACATCCATCCAGGATTGTAAATGTACTCTGTGTTTTTTTCAAGATGGAGGACAGTTTTCTGGAAATTCTGGAGGGACTCTGAAAATAATTTAGAAGAATTAGAGTGCTGGGAGATTCCCGACTAAATGAATGTTTTTTGCATAATTCTTCATCCGTGGAGATGGGTTATGCTTGCCTGTGTTCACCACAAAGGGAGTATCACACTACTGTATCACAGTAGTGAACCCATTATGTGAAATCTGAGTATATGACACTAAAAAGGACACCTAAGATTGGAAGGACTCGAGAAGGGAACAGCAAGGATGATCTGAAGCTTGGAAATGCTGGCTGGCACCATGAGATAACATGAACTCAAGACTCATGTCTGGGCTCATTCTGCTTGAGCACAGGCTGGCATTAACTGGGTGGGAATGAGGCTTCTGACAGTAGAGGGCTCCTTAACCCAGCAGAAAACCTGCAGCTGCCTGATGATGGAACTGGAAATGAGAGCAGAGTGTGATTCTTAGAGCATACCTGGGTTTTCCAGCTCTTGATACTTCAAACCTAGATGGGGTGTCTCAAGGAGTTGGAGAGCAGTCTCAGGAATGTGGTGAGGTAGTTCTTGGCCACTTGAGGAGCCAAACGACATGATGATACCTGTCTCTTCAGACTTTAAAAATCTATGAATCAGAGAAAAGAGGGCTGGCACGGTGCTAGACTTCAGGGGAGGGTGTGCAGGGAAAGAAGAGACCTGGTGACTTGTCTGGGACTTCAAAGGACATGGGACCACAGGGTGAGCTGCAGGAAAGGGCACAATGTTGTGGGAAGCAAATGTGCACTTCCATGGGCTGGGAGTGTAAGATCCCGCAGGCAAATGCCACTCCTGTGGCACCAACCCCAGTGTTGGAGAACAACAGGATTTAAAATAGACCGCAATACAGGGTCTAGGTTAAAATCGCTTGTTTGAGTTTGCAGCCTTTTTCTACTTTGCAAAACACTCTAAAAAATTACTTCTTATTTTTCAGCTATGTCTTAAATATAACGATCTTTTTTTTTTTTTTCCTGGGAATTTTCTTTTTTAAAGATAAAACTTAAAAAAATGCCCCCATGGGGAAACTCTACTTAGGTTATTATTACTTCTGCTGTCTCCTCGCATGTGGTGGTTTTGGCTGACTGGATTATAAATCTTGAGGGCACTTAATACAAAACATAGAGGGGGTGGGGAAAGGAGGTACAAAGGAATAGAATAGACACTACCTATCTCCAACTGCTGGTGCCAGAATGATCAGAGGTAAGCTGGAAGTAGAGATACTAGGCTCAGGATATGCATCCCTTACTAATAAAAGGAGAACAAAGATTGCAAAGAATAAATGCATGAGTAAATAAATAAACCCCAGACACATTGACAAATTGGATGAGGGTATCACACAGGAGGACACAGGTGGCCTCAAAGGTGTCAGTAACAGCAAGGGGAAAAACAGTAGGACAAAGTAAAAGGGGAAAAGGTAAGTAGGACCTAAAATCTAGACTTTCTTAGCTGTAAACTGGAGCCTCTTTGGTTATAAGCATCAGAAAAGAAGAAAGACTCAAGATCACTAGTGAATCATACAATAACTAAGCACCTACTGAGGTGTTGAGGAGGAGACACACGCAATCGGGGAGGCGTTTTGGGTAGCTATAGGTATGTGTTACTGTTGCTATGCAAACTGCTGATCAGACTTCACCTGTGGAAGAGAACTGGGCTTGTTTCTAACCAAAAAAGCTTAATTTGAAGTACAAGTAAGAGCAAGCTTGTAGGATAGCCTACAAACTACCGGGAGCTCACAAATGTGCAAGGGGGCTGGTTTGCTTAGTCAGGCAAAGTGAAATCTGTTGTGGTTTGAGCCCAGAGGGCAATTGAGCACCACATAACCATTCATTCTCCCCTTCCTCCCCAGCAATGGGAAGGAGAAAAATTAATCAAAATGCTCAGGAGTGGAGATAAGGACAGTGAGAGGCTTCTCACCCATTATGGTTACAGGCAAAAGACAGGCTCGTTAGGGGAAGAAAAAACCCATCACTTTAGTTCAGAACACTGACAACAGCAACAACTTAACAGGCAGAATGGGACAGGGAGAAGCATTACTGTGTCTTAAAAACACCTCCCCCCACCCCTCCCTTCTTCCCGGGCCCAGCTTTGTTCCCAATATCTTCCCCCTTCTCCCCCAGCGGGGCAGGGCAGGGGATGGGGGGTGCAGTCGGTGCTGCTGCTTCTTCCTCCAGGGTGAGGGGGCAACACTCTCCTGCATCCCCCCCTGCCCCGCAGGGGGTCCCTCCCACACAGACACTCCTCCACAGACTCTGCTGTGACTCCTCCCCACAGGATGCATCTTCTTGGGATGTTCCTCCCTGGGTCACCTCCACATGTTGCTCCTCCCAGCCCCCAACTGCAATGGTGGGGGCTGCTTCTGCCTATGGAGTCCTTGTGGTCCCCCACAGGCGAATCTCTGCTCCTCTGGTGACCTCCATGGTATCAGGGGGGTCCCTGCCATCTCACCACGGGATACAGGAGGGCTCCAGGCTCCACCGCACCTCTGCCTTCCTGCCACTGACCTCAGTGTTCACACAAGTGTCCTTCTCGTAGCTCCTCCACATATATCCCCCCAACTCCATCTCAGATTCCCCTTCTTAAATACATTATTGTGGCAGCCCAGTCATCATCACTAACTGGCCCAGCTTTGGCCAGAGGCAGGTCCAACTTGGAGCCGGGGAATCTTTGAGAAGCTCACAGTGGGTCACCACTATCCCCTTCACCTGCTACCAAAAACTCCACCACACAAACCCAGCACATCTATACTCAAGGGACCTAAACACCAGGGAGGAAGAACAACTTCAGCTATAGCCACACTGGCACAGGCACAGGAGAATATAAACTAGCTGTGAATCTGTTTAAACTGGAAATTAGAAAAACTTTCTACCCACTACAGGTTCTGGGGCAGCCTGCCAAGGGGACTAATGGGGACAGAACAATGAACAAGTTTTTGGTTGACACTTGAGAAGCTTTTTGCAATGGGATTCTGAGATGGTACTAGTAAGAGATCACACTCAGTCACCAGGAGTTTCCTTCTCACTTCTGTTCCCACTAAACAGATCATCCATATTCCTGCATTCCCAAAGCCAGCACTAAATGCTTCAGGGGCTGGTGGAGGGAAACCTGCAGGAGACAGAGCAAAGCCTCCACAGAAACATTTTCTCCTGATCCAAAGGAGCTGGATCTTCACTTGTGCCTTGAAGCAGGAGGGCGTAGAGTTGCTTTTAATGCATGCATGAGTGCTACAGTAATTCTGAATGTTCTTGTTATCCCTATAAGGGTCGTTGCTCTTGAATCTAGCTGACATTTCGGTATCTATTGAATTCATCACAACATGAATATAATTGCACATTACACAAAGAATTATTGCAAATGAACTCCTTTCCCTGGCAGTGACAGAGTCTGCCACCGGCAGAGGACGCAGACAAAAATCCAGCCCAGTTCCACACTGCATTGGCAGGGATGCTCCCAGAAAACTGGAGTAGACCCAAAGAGGAACACCCAAAAGGTGGGTGGCAGAGGAACCAGTAGAGAAAGCAGGTGGGTTTTTTTTCTGAGTATTGCAGCTAAGCAGTGACTAGTACTAGGAAAAGGGATGAAGAGAGTCCTGCAGGTAGGACATAGACAGACCCCCCATGGAGAGGGTGGCAGAGAGGGAAAGGGGCCACAGAAGGAAAAGGAGCAGCTATTCCATGGCATAAAAAGGAAACAAGAAAGATGTCAGAGATCTGAGAGATGCATTTACAGCTGCTGACATAAACTATGGGATTCTTCTGACTACTCTACCTTGCTCTGCGTCACAGTCCTGCAGAGCTAGCGCCTCATCCCAGGGATGCTGGTCCAGCTGTGGCAAGAGGCAGACACAACCCTCAGCAGCTGCTGTTGAGCGGGGAGCCTTTGTGAGAAGGCGCAGCCCTGTGGGACACCCACCCACCTGTGACAGTTCACCTACCAGACCAGACTGTCAGGCAGTCCTTCCACAAAAAGCCTTTGGAGGAGAGGTGAGCAGCTGGAGCAGAGGCAAGGCATCCCCATGTGAAGCTTGGGGGGACCATGCTGCTGCATTTTATTTTTTTTTTTAATCACTTTCTGGTAGCCCCAGATCTGTCTTTTGAGTTACACAGGATGTGGCGAGCTAAGTTATTGTGTTTAATAAAGTCTTTAAGAAAAATAGATATTTTTGCATAATTTATGTACAAAGATTGGTTGATTTCCTGCATACATAGGTTTAACCCAGATATAACCACAGCTATTATTTTTTTCACCAGCTCACAATGATTAATGCCACCTTGGTAACTGATCTATGAAGAGTCCAAGAGAATATCAGCCTGTTCTTTGTAACAGTGCAACTGGTGCACTTTGTAATAGTGCAACTTTCATGCCCACCAGCTCCTCCTGTGGGTTAACGAACCCCTTAAATATCTCATTTTGGGGGTCAGAGGCAAGGGTGGCCTCAGCAACCCCCATAAACAAAATGGTGTCTCCCTTCAAGGGGAGCCCTGCTGAGGACTATTAAGCCCAAAGACCGCCTCTACCCCTAAGGTCCCTCAACACAAACCTGATGAGGAGACCGTCAGACAAGTCGCACAGGGTGCTTGCCCCACTGCTACACTTCTCCCTGCTCACCGGGCAGAGATGGGCACTGCAGCGGGCGCTGGGCTGCTGGCAGCATGGTGTCTGACACCCCCACCACCTTCAAGAAGTGGAGCAGCAAGCTCCCCAGAAGAAATTGTGCCTCCAGTAATGCAATAAGAAGAATTACCATCATTGACAACAATTCCTAAGAAGAAGCCATGGTTACCTTTTGGCACAGGGCAGCTGGAGATGGCTGGCAGATCTCCTGCTCCTCAGACTGGGATCAACACTTCTCCATATCCCCTATTCTGCAATTCCCTAAACCTCACTCCTTTGCCAGGACTTAGGGTGTCATGGACCCATGTATTTCTGTTCCGCTCTACTCGAAGTCTCTTTTTTCAGTCTTTTCTTTGGGAAAAAACAGGGTTAAAACACAAAGACATTTAAAATGAAAATGAAAACTTATAATAATGCTCAGTACTTATCTCAGTCTTGCCATCTTCAAAGTGATTTACAAATGTTAACTAATTAATTAATCGTCTCTGACTGAAATTCAGAGGCATGGCTGAAGTGAGCAGGAAAATAGAAAGTGTGGTTTTCAGGGGAAGGGCACAGGGAAACCCACTGTTTGCCATCCGGCCAGGCAATCTGCAACAATATTTCCATTCTGCACTGCACACATTTGTTTTTAGGCGTATCAGGTGGTCTGAATTAATTTTATGTGCTACCTTCTGCTTCCTTTTTCTTAATGGAGGTCTTAAAAGGTGTCCCCTTTGAAAAGTAAACAAAATGGAAGATGCCCCTCAATCACATATTTAATCTCAAACTCTTCTGAAATCCACAACACAACCAGCATTGAGAGGGGAAAAGAAGAAAATAGGAAGGGGAAGCAAGGCCTATGGCTGCACTTGGCAAATGCTGCTACCAGAGAGTTGAGCTGAGCCTTGGAGAGGGGGGGCGAGCTGGGTGCCACAAAGCCAAGGCAGAAGGACACAAGCAGACTTGAGCCAGCTGTGATTTACCTGTGAGGGTCCAGGCCTGGGGCTTTAGCACAGCCTAGAGCCCCCCCACCCCCTGTGGCGGTTGCTGTCACCCATGCATAGGTTTTTGTGATCACAAGAGCAATGCCAGCACACATACGGAGCTCAGGCGCTGCTCCGCCTTGCCGTGCGCTGTGCAGGGCACTCACACAAGTGAGTGGAGCTCTCAGTGCTGGTTCAGGGGTGCTTCCAGCTCTGCTCCCTGGATCTGCAGTTTAAAAAAAAACCTTTTGTGCCTGATAGCCACAGTGCGGTCAAAGAGAACAAAGCTCAACAGGTCAGAGAGAAGCTGAGACACCTGGGACAGAGATGTTAGGACTGCTCTTCCTCACTGCAGCAAGATTGTTTTGGGGCATAAATATCCTCTGTCATTACTGGTAACTAAGTTCAGCTGTCTCTGGAGGTGTCACCGTTCCAGCCCAGCTCCCGCTGGACCTCAGCCAGCTCTTAGGACAGGTGCTTTGCTTTTTCTGGCTGCTCAGCTCCATCCCAAGCCCGTTCTTCTCCTTCGCATCGCACCCAACGGCTTTACAGAAGCTCCTGTTACAAAGAGCGTGAGGTGCCAGACGCCTGGCAGGTGCTCAGAGCTTGCCAGGTCTCACCCCCCAGATGACCCCTTGGTCCCAGACTAGCCCTTCGCAGGGAGCAGGAGAATCCAATGCGCATGGACATCGTTGGTTCTCACAGACAACTGCAAATGCAGCAAGCATAGAGACTTTCCTCACTGAGGGAGACAGATGAAGGGAATGCCATGCAGAGGGAGGAGGCTTGAGGTAATTTAAACAAAAACTGAAAGCACTGGCACAACCCCTCCCTGCAAGTTATAGAAAACAGGACTCGTCAAGTAGACTCCCCACTGCTGCAGATCAGTCACCCCTCTAGGTGGGTTGAGACAACCCTGACTCAGCTGCCCCCTTACACGCTCCTGCACCCAGATTTGCACTCCTCATCTGGACAACTTCATGTCAAACCTCTCCTACTTGGCACTTCTGTGCCAGATGACTACAGCTAAGGGCCTTGCTGCCTCAGAGCACAGAATGGATGTGCTGGGTTTGTGTAACAGGGTTTTGGCAGCAGGGGAGGGGGCTATAGTTGTGGCCCCTGTGAGAAGTTTCTCAAAGCTCCTCTGGCTACACATCAGACCTGTCTCTGGCCAGGGCCAAGCCAATTAGCAATGATGGCTGTGCCTCTGTGATAATGTATTTAAGAAGGGGAATCTGCCAGGAGAAGGGGGACTTTGAATGGAGTTGCGAAGAGGACACCTGTGTGAGCACCGAGGTCAGCGGAAGGCAGGCAGATGAAGGGGGTGAGGTTTGCTGGAGCATGGACCGCCTCCTGTATCCTGTGGTGAGACGGCAGGGACCCCCCTGCCACCATGGAGGTCACCAGAGGAGCAGAGATTCGCCTGCAGCCTGTGGGGGACCCCTGGGACTCTGTAGGAAGAAGCAGCCCCCACCGTTGCAGTTGGGTGCCGGGAGGAGCAACATGTGGAGGTGACCCACGGTGGAGTATCTCAAGAAGATACATCCCATGGGGAGGAGTCACAGCAGAGTCTGTGGAGGAGTGTCTGTCTTGGGAGGGACACCCCCCCGTGGGGCAGGGGGGGATGCAGAAGAGCGCTGGCCCCTCCTTGGAGGAAGAAGCAGCAGCTGCCCTGCCCCGCTGGGGGAGGAGGTGGAGATATTGGGAACAAAGCTGGTCCCGGGAAGAAGGGAAGGGTGAGGGGAGGTGTTTTTTAAGACACGGTAATGATTCTCACTGTCCCCTTCTGTTAAGTGCTGGTTTTGCTAGTGTTTGAGTTAGTTATGTTATTGTTTTCTTCCCTTAATGAGCCTGTCTTTCACCTGTGACCATTAAATGGGTGAGTGACCTCCCCCTGCCCTTATCTCCACTCCTGAGCATTTTGATTAGTTTTTCTCCTTTCCAGCACTGGACAGGGAGAGTGAACGGCTGTGTGGTGCTCAGCTGCCCTCTGAGCTCAAACCACAGTGTGGGGAGAGGTGTGGGGCTGCCTGAGCTCTTGGAGACCTCAGTCAGCAACCACTCGGCCCATCCCTGCCCCTGGCACAGCTAGTGGGTGTGCCCTGCCCTGAGACCTTACACGCAGGCAAGGAAGCTGCTCAGAAGTTTTGTGAGTTCATGGGTTCAGGTAACAGGGGTTTCCCACCAAAACCAGTCCAGAATTAGTAAAACAGCAATACTGCACAAACTAGCACTTTGTGTTTAAGATGGCATCGCACCTTGCTAGCACTAAAACAAGCATGGTCTTACCCTAGCCCCCTTAACCAGGCTGCTCCCACACACACCGCTGCACCTCCCATTCTCAATCTGCGCAGGTAGCCAACCCTGAAAAAAACTCCCCCAGGCCAGTAAATTGAAAAAGCCTCCACGCAGACAAAGATCAGGGCTTCCCCGCGTCAGATTCGTCTTTTGGTGGTTTGCTCACGTGCAGAAACCCTGGTTCAGGGAATCAAATTTTAGCACAGGCACAAGGGAAGAGGCAGAAGCAAGCGGGGGTGGGAGTCACGGTGCCAATTTACATTTACATCAGCGTACATCACCACGGAGCAGCAGTGCGACACTCGACACTCGCATCCGCCTGACTCGGCTTCCAGCCAGTCTCGAGGAAGCATCCTCTGAGGAATCTGATATCTTTTTCCTGGGCATCTTACAGGAGTCACTTTCATTAACAGTTTTTTTTTCTTTCAGGTGTTTTTGGTGGGGGTTTTTGTGTGTGGTTTTTTTTTTTTCCAACCAGACTTCTCCATCCCCCAAGAACAGCTCACTACACCCTGAAACCTTGTGCAGGTGGGGACTGACTATGGTACCTTCAACTCTCTGTCAGACAAGTCCCCACATCACTTTCCGCTTTGTTGAGGATCACAGGGCACATAATATTGACAAATATGAACTTTTCCCTCAGTCTCTGCCCATTCCCCTGAGACTACCTGAACAGCACTACTTTTGAACGTTCCAATGTAAATCAATCACACAAGAAATTCTTTAAGATTTATGATTAATTCCTGCTTTATGGACTCTCATCCCAATAGAGCTACTGTGGCATTACGCTTTGGAAAGGGAAGTTTCTTGAGGATATTCCATGCAGAAATGGGACAGTGGCTCTGACTTACTTCAGAACATCCAGAACCAGTATATGAGACAAAGAAACACCACCATAGGAGCACAAGTTTGTACAGATATGTCCATAGATCTATATTTTTATTGTTTTATATATAATATATTTATATATTTTTAAAAGAATCCCTTCAAAAACTACCCTCCCACCTAGCAAAACAAAGGTTAAACAATCAGAGATGGCAGCTGCATCCTGGAGCAAAGTATCCCAGGGGTCTCATAGAGCCGAAATGATTTCTGAGCACCAGTGCCCTCTTACCAAGCTTCTGTGGGTGCAAAGGTGACTGACACGAGTTTATGGCTCTTTAAGTTGACCAGTCAAAAGACAGGGAGAGCGAAAGAAAGAGAAAACACACGGCTATGGCAATGGAGGGCTTGAGTGGTAGGGGAAACAGCAACGCATACAGCTGGAAGCTTAGAGTGTGAAATGCTGTGATGAAGAGGAGGGAGGCACTGCCCGGGAAGTCGGTAAAGAAGATGGGAACGAGAACAGACATGCAGGAGAATTAGTTGGCAAGATGGATCTTGGAGAAGAGCTCAGAAGGACCCTTGCTACCCCTCCATCCCCCAAATCTCTTCCTCTCACCCTCCCAGTTGCGAAGGGAGATCCAACTAGTTTGATTTAGACCAAATCTTCGCGCTGCCCCGGAGCCTGCGGAGAGGAAAAATTAAAAAAAAAATCAGAGCAGACACTCAGGCTCATCCCTGACTTCCTTTTCTAGACCCATGCAAATAAGAGCAGCTCATGTTTTTTGCAAGAGAAGACTTATGAACTCTGCTTCAGATCAAGAGTTGCAGAGATCTTCCCCCCAAACTGGCAGAAGGTGAGCTCAGCTGGGATTACATCTCTGACATCCCCCATTCTGGGAGGAAATGCAGTCAGTAACCTCCCTGCTCCCTAACAGGGCTCCCCTCAGTTCTCCTCCTGAACATGCACACAGAGCAGCTCTGTTCACGTGCCCCCACTCCTCACCCTTTGGCTTTGGAAGTTTTCTTGCTCGCCTGGCGCTGGTTGGTGCCAGAGGCCGGCTCCCTGAGCTCTGTTAGGTGCTGTTCCGGGTCTTGGGATGTGGCTGCTGCAGCAGCTGCTGTCGTCACTTTAATGGTCTTCTTCAGGTTTGCCACCTGCAACGGCAGAAAAGTGAGAACCAAGGAATTTCCCAAGGTTGTTTCTTTCTTTTGCATTTTTTTTAGTTTGTTTAGTTTCATTTTCTTTAAAGCGAGTTAAGAGCTGCGAGCTCAGGTCAAACAAAAGGGTTACCAGCTGTCCAGTCCCCTGCCCTGCAGAGGGGTGTTAAGCTGATTAAGGACACTTCTTCAGGCACAACCCACTGTGGGGTCTGGCCTAAGGAAAAGGTAATGCCTTAATTGAGCAAAGTCCATTTAACAACCACAGGGAATGGGTTCCCATTATTTTAAACGGAGGGACGCTGGCTGCTCCCCCCTCAGCCCACTCACCTCACTCTCTATCTGCTGCTTCAGTGCCAGCTGCTGCTCTTTGTGCTGGTTGGCCCGGCTAACCTGTTCTTCAATGCCCGACAAGACAACCTCACAGCCCTGGCACCTGAAGAGAAGACGTAGAACTGAACGGGCCAGGGAAATTACACAGCATAGAAAGGAGAATGAAAGATGACTGAACTCAACTCGAGAGGCCAAGTAGGGAAGACACAGGAGCAGCCAGGACTGTACAAAGGTTGCTGCAGTCTCATCACCCCTCCAGCATCAAACAGAGGAATTTGGAAAATTATTTTTTGGAAAATTACTTTCTGCTGGAGTATGAGAAAGGGGATCAAGTAGGCCACCTCACAGCACTACCCCCACAGCAACACACAGAGGACCTGGGGAAGCCACTGGCCACTCCAGCAACCTTTTTTAGGTGTTAGTATTGGGGGCTTCCTCCTCACCACTCCTGCAATGTGCGGGTGATGGAGCTTAGCTCCTCCCTCCGGATGTCCCTCCCAATGCTGTAATCCACCTCCAGGCGTTGGTTCCGCTGATCCAAGCTCCCTCGCAGCACATCAGCATACACAGCCTCAATCACGAGGTCCTCCAGTTGCCGGACGTTCTTCAGCTGTAACTGCTCCAGCAGCACTGAGTAGGGGATGCACTGTGGAAACATGACGGTAACTGGCATGAGGTAACCTCAGTGCAAGGAGAACTCGGGGAAAAATAGGGCCACTACCTTGATCTTGGCAGCCAGAGTGACGACTGACAGGTGCCTCAGTTTGTTCTTCTGAGCCTCTGTCAAGGGAGGGAGGTTTGCTGCTTCAGCTATTGGCAGGGCAAAGAACAAGGTATAAGAATTTATGCCTCATTTCCCATTTCCCAGCCCCGCACAGAAGCATCTGCACACCAGTCCCCCAAGAGATGCTTCGTCTTGCCAAGCCATCCCCATTAATTCTCAGCTCAAAAGACCTTTTCTTAGAGGCCTTTCCTCCCCTCTGCCTCAAGTCATCCTCTCTACCTGTCCTGTGCCTTATTTATGCAGGTCTACACATCCCAGTAGATACCTAAGTCTTTCCCCTCGCCTCTCGAAAATGCCTTTCTCAAGATGTTCTTGGAAACACCCCACGCTACTGGCAAACGGGAGCGTTAGTTGCTGCCAGGTACTCCGGCGTTCTGGGGCCCAAATCGCAGTCAGGCACAGTGACAGAGGCACGGCTCTTGCTGCGAAGGGAGGCAGTTTGGGTGAGGGTCTCCCAACGGCTCGGGGGCTCTGGCATGTTCTCCGCACCGAGGGACCACCATCACCGGGAGGGGAAAGGGCCCCTGGAACCGCGCCGTGCCGCCGGGGCCCGGCCTCACCCAGGTAGTCCGCGTAGGTGCCGTAGGCGAAGATGGTCAGGAGGCGGAAAACAGGGGCGAACTCGCTGTCGGCCAGCTGCGGGGACACAGGGTCAGGTCCCGCCGCCCCCCGGGCCGGGCCGCGCCGCGGGCAGTGCCCGTCAGGCCCTG